AGGTGGCCATGTACCATCAGCCTCCTTGCATGAAGCTGGTGCTCACAGCCTAGAATTTGAGCTTGTCTGGAGTAAACAAAGCATGGTGTGGGGACTGACTCAGTGCAGAGCACCTTTTCTGCAGAAACTGCAGCCTTGCAAACAGGTAGAAGCTGTTTGGGAAGCTGAGTACACTCTTCACAGTAACGAAGATGTGAAGCCATCTATCATCTTGCCTCATACATCTGCTCCTCTTGCTATCAGAGCACCCCTCCACAGTACCATAGAATCACAGAATCTCCCTCTAGACCATGTTGTTCACAGCCCCATCGAAGTTGGCCTTGAATGCTTCCAGGGAGTGGGCATTCATAGCATCACTGGGCAACTTGTTCCAGTGTCTCACCAGCCTTACAAAAGAGAATTTCTCCTTAATATCTAGTCTAAATTTACGCTCTTCCAGTTTAAAGCCATTTCCCCTCATGCTGTTGCTACATGCTCTTCTAGAATGTCCCTCCCCAGCTTTCCTGTAGTCCCCCTTCAGGTACTGGAAGGCCGTTAGAAGGTCCCCTCAAAGACTTTTCCAGGCTGAAGAGCCCCAGCTCTCTCAGCCTGTCCTCATAGGGGAAGTGCTCCAGCCCTCTGACCATTTTCATGGCCATTCTCAGGACCACTCCAACAGCTCGATGTCCTTCTTAGGGCCCCAGAACTGGATGCTGTACTCCAGGTGGGGTCTCACGAGAGCAAAATAGAGAGGTAGAATCACCTCCGTTGACTTTCCGGTCACACTTCTCTTGATGCAACCCAGGACATCATTGGCCTTCTTGGCTGCAAGTGCACACTGTCTGCTCATACTTAATCTCTTATTATTTTATTGCAACACAAACCAGAGAGATTCATTCATTAGCACGAAAGCCTTCTGGTAAAAAAAAATCTCACAACTTTTACACTTGTAGTTAGAAATAATGGTAATTGCTTGGGTGATTTTTCCCACAACACCTCTCAGCAAAACACAATTCACAAGAGAAAGAAATACTATCTAGTATTTCAGATAGTTTTAACATTAAGAACATTTGGAGAAGAAGTACCTTTTAATTAATCTTTTAATGAGACTAGTCAAGCACTGATTAAAGGAAATAAGGAATGGAAAGGAAAAGGCAACAGATTAATTTAATATGCATTTCACATCTTGGGTCTAGGAATGGACGTCATCCTTGCAATTCCAGAACTCTGATATGATCTAATAAAGGATGCTCCCCAAGCCTCAGACACTAGTAGTTTCTGACAGTTATTGTATTACTCACATTGGTCATTGAAAATTTCATTTCTTTCTCTTTTTTTTTTCTTGGAGATATCTGTAAATGATGAAAAAACAAGCCTCTGAAGTAAACAGGATAGCGTGAATTGCAATTTTCAGAATGATTGACTTACTGATACTTTTTGTTGAGGAAGGTTGTTTCATCTTGGGAAAAGTAAATTCACAACAGGCAAATTATAAAATTAATGTTGTATTATACAGCCTGCTTAATGCATGTGCATACTGAAATGACTAACGGCCTGTTAAGTGTTCGTTATCTTTCTCATAATTCATTATCTGTAACTCTTCTTCTGCAATAACAGTAGCACATGACACTGACATTGTGAGCAGTTCTGCATATACCCAGACACAGATACAGAGAGGGAGACTGGTGGCTGGAGAGCATCTCAGTAAGAAGGGAGTAGGAGGGCTGGTGACATCAGACTAAACACAAGCCAGCAGTGTGCCTTAGCAGCCAAGTGGGCAATCACTATTTTGGATGCATTAAGTACATGTTAGCCATTTGGTCAAAAGAGGGGACTCTCCTGCTATAATTAGCATTGGTGGTGCCTCTCCTTGAGTACTCTGTGCAGTTCTGGGCTGGACAATATGCACAATGTCAGAGTACTTGAAAATGTTCAGAGGATGACAGCAAATCTGATGGGATATCTGGAAGGAGTGTCCTGTGAGGAGAGGCTGAGGACATATGTGTTGTCCAGTCAAGCCAAGAGTGATCTCATTGCTCTCTACAACTTTCTGAAGAAGGGGACAGAGAGGCAATGATCTCTTCTTCCTAATAGCCAAGAGCAGGACACTTGAAACAGCACCAGGGAGGGTTCAAGCAGGACATTGGAAAACATTTATTTACTGAAAGTGTGGTAAAAAACTGGAACTAGCTTTCTAGAGAGCTGGTTGATGCCTGATATCTGTCACTGGCCAAGGGGAATTTGGAGAATGCCCTCAATAATGTGCTTTAACTTTTAGTTAGCCCTGAAGTGGTCTGTCTGTTGGACTTCATGGTCTTTGAAGATCCCTTCCAAGTGAACTACTTCTACTCTACTCTACCCTACCCTACCCTACCCTACCCTACCCTACCCTACCCTACCCTACCCTATCCTATCCTATCCTATCCTATCCTATCCTATCCTATCCTATCCTATCCTATCCTATCCTATCCTATCCTATCCTATCCTATTTGATTCCATTCCATTCCATCCCATTTCATTCCATCCCATTCCATCCCATCCCATTCCATCCCATCCCATTCCATCCCATCCCATCCCATTCCATCCCATTACATTGCATTACATTACATTGCATGTGGCAGGGGGGTTGGAGATTCATGATCCTGGAGGTCCCTTCCAACCCTGGCCATTCTGTGATTCTGTGATTACCAATACTGTGCAGAAATTACTAGTCACACTTTTCCCTTCTGTTACTTAAATTTTCAAAGCTCTCTCATGGCAGAGACACCAATACAAAAACGTTAGAAGAGTATTGTATCATCTTTTCTTATGACCCATTATTCCAATTGACTGTGTAAAAAGATAATCTACATGCCTTTTCCTATCCAAAGATAAGCTGAATTCTTGACACTCAGTGTGAGTCTGCCTGTGAGGATGAGCATGAGCTGTATACAAGCAAAATTTCATTTTTTGCTTTTTCTGTTACCTGTGATGGGCAATAGAGAAGAAACAACTATCTTTTTTTCTCCCCAGTTTCATGCAGCAAGACCAAATATGTGCTTAAAATGTAGCATCTTCTCTAAAAACTGATGCCACAAAGCAGAAGACATATCAGACTTCTATCCTTTTGCTTGGATAAGGACTTGACTCTGTAAGACAAAGACAATATCTTCCTCTTGCAGTCCTGAGCTCATTCCTGAAAGGCGACCTGTGAGTTCTTTCCTTCCAAGAGTGACCAGAAAAGTACCACAGAATCTGTTTCTCAATTGATCTGAGTTGCTGGTCCCATAGGATTTGGTTTAGTCTTCATCTCAGTATGACAGAATCATACTATTTTGCATTAAACAAAGAAGTTTTTAAGAAAGAAACAAACAAACAAAAAAAAGGGATCTGCTCTCCAACAGATAGAGTCTAGGTTCACTTTTTATGTATTATTAATATAAAACTGTGATCTCTAACAATAAATCTATTAGAAATATAAGCCAAGATAAAAGGTGTAATGTTCTGCCAATAAACTGATGCAATCTTCTCAGCCAAATATTGTCTAGGAATAAATAATACTCTTAGAAATTATGCTTAAAATGTAGAAAGTGGCTACTCATCATGAATGGCTTTTAAGCTTTCAGATTTATTTCACTAGTGAAGAGTATTTTGAGTACCTTGAAATGTCAGTCATTTGCTCCTCCCTTCCCCATCAGCCTCTCTGCAATAAGGCAAGAAAATGTCAGAGGACAAACTCTGCATCAGAACAGTTTTACTAGGGGGAAAAATTAAAATAATTGCCTGGATAGGATAATGATCATTTGGCAACAACTGACATGGGTACTTCAACAGCACAAAATCCATTACAGCAGCTTCTGCTGAAGGGCACACATCAGGCTGGAGAGAAGTCCTCACTGTATGCCCTATTTAAACAAAAAGGCTGAGCTGCATGTTATCAGTGTTGTTCACAGTTTTTTTTTCTCAGATTAACAGATAGAACAATTGAATTGGAGAAAGTCTGAAAAAAACAATGACTGTTTCTCTGTCTTCTCCCACTTGGTCTCTTGCATTCTGCATGCTTCTAGAGATAACTTCTCACAGTGTCTCTGTGCTCTGGTTCATAAACAAGTATTCAGGTGCCAGAGGTTCACTCCTACATCTCTACCATCTGTGTAAGGCAGTCCAATCTGTTTCTCTCAGCTATAAGTGAGTTATTTTAACATATGTGGGCCTGACCCTCAGATCTTCCTTCTATCTAAAGATATCATGGTGTTATAGGCAAAATGCAAAGTGATTTGATTACTTGCATTGCTCTCCTCTCCCCTTGTCCTCAGTGAACAAAGCTAAAAGAAGGCTCTGTAAGGCAAAACCTGAAGAAACAGTGACAAAGTAAGTTCTACAAAGTCAGAGTTCAGTGAAGTAATTATCTACCAGCTGTATAATTAAATTTCTTCTGCTGATTTTCTTGGGTAAGAAACAACTGCTGCTTTGAACATAACTTGTACTATAAATAAGTACTTCAGTTAAAATATGATATAGGTGAATAAGTGTGTGTGTGGGAAGCGGGGGGGAAGCTGCTTACAAAATTAAAACTTCTTAAAGTTTCCATAAACATAGCTTTTTTATGTTCACACAAATAAAGTAGTAGATGATTACATAAATTCAATACTGCTATTTTGGATAAGGTCAAAGGTATCAACAACTCTCAACAGTAAATTTTGGTCTCAATTGCTGCTAATGTAAAAATATACACAAGAAGTGTTACAGTTCAACCAGTTAGGTGTCAACATTCTGTTTGTTCATCATTATTACTCAAAACACTAAGTTGTTAACATCAGACTCAAATTGCCATTGTAATTAATATAACCGATAATACTTCCATTCCTTGGAAAGCTCCATGTGTCTTGACCACCATGCATTGTTACAATGTCTAGACCAAGACTCTTTTAAGACTTCTCACTTCTCCTAGGCAATGCCAAGATGTTCGAGGATTTCTCTAAATTTCCATGATTCACAAGAAACTTTTAGGGCATGTGCAAGGCCCCAGGAAACTGCACAGATAATTTGGGGATTATTTATTGGAGAGGGAGAGGTATCCAAATGGGTGGAGGAATGGGCAAAAGTAACAAAGAGCTTTTTTTGACACACTCATATAAGAAGATGATCATGTGAAGCAGAGTAATTCTTAAGGAATATTTTACTCAAACCATGCATTGCAAGATCAATTGAATGGCTGTTATATCATAAAGACAAAGCATTGATCTGTTAGCAAAGATGGGAGTAGCTTGTTCATTCACAGAAAAAAGAAAAGGAAAACACAACACTAGGGAGTGTTGGCAAGGCTCTTAATTTCTCCCATATGTACCAAAAATGAATATTATATAAACTTTTCTTGAGCAGATTTGCAGAAAAGTGTGTAGAGATACTTATGAATGTTTAAGAATCAAAAAGCCAAAGTAGGTTAAAAGCATTCCAAGGCTCAGGAAAGGGTTCCTCTAGGAAGATGAGGATAAGTTTTAAATAGTAGATCTTTGTCAGACCTTCCAAGTGCTTTTAATTTTTCATGTCAAATAAAATTATCACATGTTCAATAAAATTCAGACCTAAATAATGGTTTTATTTTGGTTAGACTGACATGCAGACATAATTAGCATGCAGACTTAGTACAGCAGAAATGAACCACGTAAATATTTATTCAGAATGACAGAATTTAGTAGCAGTTTGACTCAGCCACTGAACAGACCTTAGCAAGTTCAAACTTATTTTCAAGACAGCAGTGAATTAGCTTCTCAGTCTTCAGAATCATCTCCTGCAAACCCAGTACAGGAAATTCCATCTGCCTTTTCCAGTCTGAATAGATTTCTTCCCTTGCCTGTATATAAAAAACAGTGCAACCTGAAATGAAAAAAATAAAAAATAAAAAGAGATGAAAAGCAATTCTGCAAACAATGAAACAGTAAACCTTTTAGCAGAGCTTAGCTCTATAAATGTCACAGCATACTTCAGCATATACTAACTTTCTGACATGCCACACACTGGATTAGTATTTAACATAGGTGTGCAGAGCAGTATTAAACAGAAAAAAAGAAATCACTAGTGATTGACTGATGAAATTTTAATGTCATTCATTTAAAATACATCACAACTGACCCATGCTATTTGTTTTAAATATAATGCACTACCTTGCTTTATAGAATCACAGAACTCTCTAGATTGGAAAGATGTTCAAGGTCATCAAGTCCAAATGTCAATCCTGACCTACAGTCACTAAAACATATTCCATAGTGTCCCATCCACACGTTTCGGTGAGGTAACAAAACACATACTTCTCACATAAAGAAAAATGCTAGATTATGACTTTTTACAACTAGTCATCCCTATGATGTAGCTCTAGATTGTTGCATTTGCACTCATTCTAACAACTGTTAAGGCTGAAATCTTATGTTTACCTACTAATCTACTGCCATTGTGAAACTTTTGGTCTAGAATCAGCAAGTGTGGAAAAACAGATAGCATGAAATGTGAAAAAAGAAGAGAAATAATTAATGCAGATAGTAATCTTGGCTATTTTTACCACTAAGGACATTCAAAACAATATGCTTCCAATTTTTTAAGCAATGTGGAAGTATTGTCTGAACAGTTACTCATATCAGCTGTTCAATTTTGAACTGCAAAAAGCCACAGGAAAGAGATAAAAAATTCCATCTGTATGAAGCAAAAGTTCCCTATATTCCCTTCACTGCATTACCTCTGTCTTTTTTCTTTTGCTTTATAACCTTCGGGAAATAGCAAGCAAAATTTATCTATTTTCAGATTTTTGACCCTCTTATCCTGATAAATTAGATATATTTATTTTACACGACCCCTCTTTGCTTACTGATGAACTTCCTCTTTAATGAGTACAAAGCCTTTTTTTGAAAAGGAAAAGAAGTATTGTTATAAGCCATAGACTTAAACACTTTCAGTAGTCTTGCTTGATGCCTGAAAGACTTCTAGCTGTCAAAAAACATCCATTCCATGAAATTGCTCCTTGAATGTGAACTGTCAAGAACAAAAAGAAAGGTATATCTGGTCTGCATGAAAGGTTATAGATCTTATTTCTAACAGCATACAAAAGGCCAGGCTGGAAAACTCAAAACATTTTCTTTTAAGGAAAGTTGACTGTGAATGCAGTTTTATGTTCCACAACCCATGACTTTATCTGAACTCTTTATACTGCATACTCAAGACAGAGCAATGAGCGTTTTAGGCTGCAAATTCACAGGCTTTGTTTGCATATTCTCTTCCCTTCCCTTTGTGATAGAAAGCCTATTAACTGCATCCATGCTGTCAGTCCCAGACTGTGCTCTAAACTTCCCTCCATGGAAGGCTTATCATTTTAGGCATTGTCTCTCCAGATGGAAAGATTAGCCTTAGAAGCTGGAGCAGGATATTAATTAAGGACTTAGAAATGTTTACGTCTTTGTATTTCTATTTCATTTTAATTTTTTAGCTTGATTTTAGGATACAAAGATTGAATCAGTTATTTTGTTTTCTCTACTCTGCTATTATTGGTCTAATAGAAGTTTAGCTTTAATCACAGGTGTTGCCTGCTTTGTACCATTGGACATTATGGATAAAATAACGATAACCATTACTAGAAGAAAAATCAAGAACAAAGACCCATTTCACATAGAATTCAATAAACATGTTTAGATTATCCAGTTTTAAAAGCATCCAACAGTATTTTAAAAAAGCAATTTCAATATTAGTGAATCTAATAGCTGTGCTTCCTGCTATTAACTTTAATGTTTATTAGAGCAGAAGATAAAAACATGCTGAAGGCTGAAACAAAGCTTCAGGAGAACAGTTATAGACTTCCTTGCTCTTTGCCTTAATTTTAGGTTACACAGAATGGATGCTAAATATGGCAAAACAATATGGCTCTGATGCTTTAAGAAGGGACTGAAAGACTTTGTGGAATCCATTTCTATCCTTATTATGAAAGGATAAAGTCAGTCAACAGAAAATCTGAGACAGATTATAACACTCGGATCATGAATTTCCCTCATCCCAATTCCACCATAACATCTTCATATGATTAAAAGACATTTGTGAGGTTACCACACCAATAATTATTTTCCTAAAGCAAAACTGAACAGTGGCCAACAACTAAATAGGAGAATTACTGCCTCCCATAAACTGAAAATGCCCAGTGTCCCAAGAGAAGTATTACCTCTATTACTTAATTGCATGTGAAACTCTGCTCATGGTTTCAAATTCTAGTAGCAAATGACAGGAAACTCCATAACACCATTTCTACACTTACTGTTCATTTCTTTCGAATACGTTATTTAGAATAAAGTTTGGTGTAGCTTTTAGTTAGCTGTTATAAATGCATTTCTCTACCCTCTAGAATCCTAAAATTTTCCTTTTTCCATCATTCACACATTTCAAACACTAATGGCTGAAATTTAGTGTTTCTTGTCAGTTAGAAAGCATTATATGAATTTATCCTATTAGCTCAAATTGCAGTTTAAATCTGCAACTTGCAGCTGTGAATGTAACAGGATGGGGTTTCCTACCCAATCCTCATCCTCATTGTTCCTCAGCCATCTTCTCTGGGAGGAAGAATGAAAATAGGCAAACAAACATTGCATTACCAATTCCTTAGTTAAGTTTTAAATGTTATGCTATGACAGAAACTTGCCCACACACACTGCAAGTCTACATGTCGTGCATATTAGAAGTGGTCTGTTGAACTGAATTAGGAATTAGTTTCTTGAGTCTGTTTGTACTGAATGATGGTAAATTACAACAGTTTTGTGTGTGGAATTTTATGTTTTTGTGTAGAACTTCCTTAGATTCCTGGAGTATGTTAGTGATCTCTACCTATAACTATCCTCTATTTTGACTGGGAGCACTTACCCAGGAGCGATAGCTATGTGTCAGCTGTGCCCAACATCACTGTTTCCTTGTGGCATAAAGAACACCCTCAAACCTGATATTCAGTGTATTGCAGTCCTGTTTTAAAATTGAAAAACTATCAAACATGCTGATAACAAAACTTTAATTCATGCCGGGATTATTTACACAGATAGGTAACTGAGGTCACCACACAGAAATCAGGGCATTTTTCATCCTACAGAACTCTCAGTAACAGTCATCTCAGTCAGCAGTTTCATACAGAAGGGAAAAAATGTAGTATGGCTGGACACACTTATTCCTCCAGAAGTAAACTCAACAGCAGGTCTCCACAAGACTGAACATTGAGTCGGACACCAGCCAATGGTACTTGGAAAGTCTGGAGCGATGTACCACCTTGCAACAGCATCCAAAACACCTAAAAGAGGATTTAGAGTAAAATATGCTACAGAACAGATAGCTCAGCTCACGGACAATCACCCATGGTCTGTGAGTGGTGGGAAGTGCCACTTTTACATGGTGACTAAACAGTTGTGTCAGGGCCTGGAGTTGCAATCCATGATTAATTTGCAGGCATGTGTTATTGCTGACAGTGGTGAAATTAGTGTTTGCTGGAAATCTGAAGGTAAATGGGTGCATGAAGAATTTAGTGGATAGAAAAATCTGGCTTGTTGAAAGCTTTGTCACTCATCAAGGAGATTGAAATGAATAACTTTCAGAGGCCAGGTGGTATAAGCAAATGAGTTTGTACCTGAAAGTTGAGTTGTCGGATGTCTTCCACTGAATTGTTTCTACACTGGGTAGCTGTCCCACTGTTTCCATTTTGTGTCTATGTGGCAGCAGATGGGAGACAATTCTTACACCTATCAAGAAGCGCAGCCGTTTTTCAGCCTGTCTCTATATTGTACATTAAGTCAAGACGCAAGTTATTGGCATGCAAATGATCTGATCAAGTAAATAGCGAATACATTTTCCCTCTTGCTGTGGCAGAAGTATTTATCTTCTGATTCATGTTCCAATGCAATAAAACCCGTGCAACTGATGGAAAACAACCTACATGCATTTGTGACCCAGTTCTGTCTCTCACTAAGCAGGGGCCCTTCAGGGCTGATTGAGGCCAAACTTCCCTGACTGCAGATTACATTCTTTGCAGTGTTTGACCTGGGCAGATCAAACTGAGCAGCAGCACAGGGCTCTTGTCTCAGTATCTCTTTCTTAGGATGGAACTGGACATGGTCTCACAACCAAAAGCTACCAACCTGTAGTTGACTTTCGGGAAGGTTGCTCACCATCCAAACCCAGACAGTCGCCAAGTGTGATGGGATAATGACACTCAGCCATCCCCAAAAGCAGCTGCAGAAGTTATCTCTGTCTGTAAAGTGTCCTGAGACTCTTGATTGCTTCTTCAGTGCAAACACGCTGGATAAACACACTGGAGCTGGAATACATGCACATGTGTGGGAATGCTCAACTCTACAGCACAATGTATATATTAAATGAAGCAATAAGTAGAGCAATAACATAGTAATAATATAATATAATATAATATAATATAATATAATATAATATAATATAATATAATATAATATAATATAAGTAAACAATAATTTATCCTCAAAAAGAGTGGCCAGACACTAGAACAGGTTGCTCAGGGAAGTGGTGGAGTCACCATCCCTGGAGGTATTAAAAAAATGTGGCACTGAAGGAATGATTAGTGAGCATAGTGAGAATGGGTAATGGTTGGACCAAATGATCTTAGAGATCATTTTCAACCTTAATGTTTCTATGATTTTACTCTGCAATCTATTGGGCTACATGCAGAGCTAGAAAACAGAGCGTGCTTTGGGCATAGGAAACTATACAATGAAAGATTTCAGAACTTCTAGATTTGTGTCTGTGAAAATATTACAATTAATTTATTCATCTTCCCTAAGTAAAGTCATTTTTTGCCTTTTGAGCACAAATGCCACTATTTTGGTATATTCAAACAACTTTTCCTTCAGTAGTATTTTTAATTTTAAAATTCTTACAAAGAGACAAGACTACTCCAAAGTGGAGAGCTTGTTGTGTGAATACTCCATGCATGTACGTTCCACTTTATAGAATATTTCTTCACCCCACTCCATCATCTCATAGATATGAGCACACGAAGTCCTAATTTGCCCTAGGGACAATGATAATTTCATTTCTGTCTATAAATTTTTGGGAAGTTCAGAACCTCTGGTTAAACAGCCATCTAGAAAGGTGAAAGAATGTAACACTGACACTACTGCATGGCCAAGAGTAATATAAATTTCTTTCCTTTGTAATGAGCTAATAAACAAAAGAAGGGTAAATGCTCAAATGACTGTCTGTAACAATTATGCATACATTTTTATGATTTTTTTAAATTTTTTTTAATTTTTAGTATTTAAATTGAGAACTGTATTCAAACAGCAAAGAGAACAGGATAGCAGAAAGGAATTAATTAAAAGCTTAGGACAACTAAAACTCCTGACTCATGTAGCAGCACCTTGGCTTTGTGTGAGGCTAGTAAAAAAAATGAGGTCTAGATTGGAGCAGATTTGGGACTGTTACAGCCTGGTAGCACTTTTTTTCATCTTTTCATACCACAGAGGCAACTGCATTGTTCCTAGCATGGATGATACAGTTTTCTTCATAGCTGCATGCTCTCCTTTATGTATAAGTACATAGAATGAGCAAAAAAAATTCTTTCCAACAATTATAATGACAAACATGGAAAGCTTTTCTTTTACCAAACTCCTGTGAAGAATACTAGGCATCAGGAAAATACTGTGTTCTCTTCTTAAATCACTGGCACTTTACATAAGTAACATATCAAAAATTGTTAGGCATGTTTAACTTGATCTGCTGTTGAACTTTTGAAAGTAGAAAATGTAATAGGAATTCTTTTACTCTAAAGATGCTATTCATTACAAATTACATTACAAAGCTTGATTTCATTCTATAAATATTCAACTGCAAGCAGCTAAATGCAGAATTTTAAAAAACATTCTTACTTCAGACCTTGAAATATCTGAAATCTAAATGTTAGAGAGGCAATTCTCAACATCCATTTTTCAAATTGTAACATTCATATTTCACCGTAGTAAGGCAAAAGACTAGATTCAGTGGGCCAGAACTTTTCTATAACTACTTAAATTCTTGCTTAAAGTTACTGTGCATCATCCTCAGAAAATCTTTTGCTCTCTCCATCCCCAGTTCTTTCAAGACTGCACTGGACATAGCCTCCAGCAACTTGGTATCATATCATGGCTGCTCCTGTGTTGAGCTGGAGGTTGGACTAAGGACTTCTTGGGGTCCCTTCTCACTTGAATTATTCTATGATGCCAGATGCACAACTTCAGATTAAGCATTCCAACCAAAGGGAGAGACTAAATCCAGGTTAACAGAAGCCAGCTTCAACCACATAGATTGTGTTTTGGAGTCAAATCTGATTACTTTGGGAGCAGAGGAACTTGAATGCACAGATCAGACCTGCAGAAGGAGGCTTCTCAGCAAGGTCAAGGTGTCAGGATCACATAGCATTTCTGAAGTAGCATCATCAGGTTATGTATCCTGTATTGCAAATTCGCTAGTGAACTGAGCCCACAAGAGTAAAATAAAGATAAACAAACAAAAGGTTTTATATTTCTCAGAATTAATTCCTTCAATGCTTAGCATAGAAGATGAAGTGTGCCCATGTTGGTTTCTCAGATATATCAGTTTCTTTCAGGAATGCTTCTCTTTCAAGATTTATGGCTATAGGAATGTCCACAATTAGACTTTTATGAACCACATGCATTGGCCTCAAAAGTCTTTTTGTTCTGAAAAGTGGGGAAATGTGTCTCCATACATGATCTTAATTGACCTGCTTCTCATTTCAAGGGACAGATACTAACAAATGAGGTCAGTTCACCTCATTTTGTTATCACAGAAACAAAGTAAGTGCTACAATGAGCTTTCTAAGTGGATAAAGAAGCTAAAACTCTGTAATGACTGGTATACTTACAATCTTGGTTGTATTTCTTCCCCCGTGTATAAACAAAAATGAAAAATAGTAGTTTTGTTCAGAAATCATCAGACTTTTTAAGTGGCCAACGGTACATACACACAAAATGTATTTTGCATTTAAATACTCCTTTTTTCAAATTGAACTTAGCCATTGTTTGGCTGGTCAACACATTATAATAAGCAATCTGTTTTTTACTAACTAACAGAAAAATCATGTCACATTACACTACTTCCGCCCAGTTTACCCAAGGAAAATGAATTATGAATAATCAACTTCAAGATCCCAAGGAGTAGCTGGAATAGATCAATGTTAGGTAAGACAAACTATGATATGAAATCCACAGTATATGATTCAACATATTCGTCCACTCTACTTACTCTATTTCTATCCTTCTATACTTCTATATTATTCTATTTTATATAGGCAACTGTATAGAAAAAAATTCAAATCTTCAAATTATCTTTTCAAGTCAGTTTATAATGCAGGAAAGAGGGAAAAGGGGAGAATCTGGAGAAGTTAAATGGATCATTTAATTGTACTATAGCACTGGGATTAATAAAAAACAGGAGGAGTAGCAGCCTAACTTACCTCCCAAGGAGGTACACTCATTGATTCTTCTTCCTGAGGTGATGCTCCACAGTTAAAATCATGTGTTCTATCTTAAGCCATATCTTTCATGCTTCAATTGGAGACAGGACTAAAATTTCAGTGCAGAAAAAGACCTTTGGCTGCTGGATGCTTCTTGCTCTGTTGATCTAAGAGCACAAAGGAGTATACAATTAAAATGGGGAGGAACTCTAAAAGTGTAACAATGGGATAAGGGATAATGTTTTTAAACTAAAAGAGGGGAGATTTAGATTGGATATTTGGAAGAAATTTTTTACTCAAATACTAATGCAGCACTGAAACAGAGAATCTGAACCAGATCCCTGGAGGTGCTCAAGGCCAGGTTGGATGGGTCCCTAGGTAGCCTGGTCTAGTGGAATGTGTCTCTACTCATAGTAGGGGCTTGCAACAGAGTGGTCTTGAAAAATCCCTATAAACTCAAACAGTTCTATGATTCTGTGTAACTCGTGCATATGTAAACATAGGAGTAAACCAGCCTCTGCATCAATTGTATGTTGAGCCATTTTCAGATAGGGAAGTGGAGAGTCAGGAAGTTAAAATAGCTTTTGAAACAAAATATAAAAAAATTGAAAGCATTTCATACAAGTAAAACTCTATTTTATCCATTCTACCACCAATTAAAATGGTAAAATAAGCTTTACATGCAAATTTGCATGTATCCGTATCCATAATATTGTTCATTATTTCAGCAAGATTATGTATGTATAATTATACATTCTACATTTACAAGTAACCAGAAATGACATTAAAAAAACCTTGCAAAATAACTTCATGAGTGTGGGAAAGGAAAGAGAATCCTCTTTGCTAATAAGAGGTCCAAGGAGAAAAAAGAAAATAAAACCTTACCAAGATTATTTTAGAGCATGGACATTTATTTGATCACTGTTTCGAAGTGTCTGCACAAAGAGGAGGAAATATCTGAGGCTCAAGGACTTTTCATTCTTCAAAGGACGATATAATAAGGTGCACTCTCTGAAACCAGTTACTCCCTCAGACAAATGACACAGTTGCCTGCTCACCAGATAAATAGAATTAGGTGGGCTGAAGGCACCCCCACTGGGATCTTACTGAAAACACATTGGAGACTTACCAGCTCTCCCTCCAACAGCACCCCTTCTACCCTCCAATTATTTGCTGTTTGAGAGAGAATCTTCAGTTTCTGCAGTGTGAGGAAAAACCACGGTAATGAGGCAGATGTATTTTTGAAGTCCCAGCACAACTTGATAGCATTAAGGAGCTTGAGGAAATAAATACCAAAGTACCTCAGTAGATTTTACTGACGTGGAGGCTTAAGTGTGTAATTACAAACACACAGCAAACACCCATAGTCAAAGGAAGGGAAAAATGTCTCTGGACCAGCATTCTGGAAACAGACGGCCTTGCAGCATCCGCAGGAACAACAAAGGAAATGTTTTCACTTGAAGTGGACCAAGTGAAGCAGAGCAAAAGCTGAACCCCACACAAAGCTTCCCCAGCTCATCTCCCTTATTGCCCTGAAGGTCATATTGCCATCATGGCTGGGGGATTAAACTGATCCATGTTTAATTGCTGTACTGTAAGACACGCTAAGCAATAAAATGAAGTTTTTATAAGCAAAAGACGTAGCTATTCAAACCTAGGAAATTCAAAACTAGCAGCATTTTAGCTATGGTCTCACCTTTGTGACAACTCTTTTTAATTTCAGTTTACAATGCACAGGACACCATTAAGGCGTGAGTCACAGTGACTAGATTATTTTTACATTGCTAGAAATGAAAATAGAAATAGAAAAACAGATTTAAAAGACAGTTGTCTTAATTCAGAGTAGACAGTTCTGATGCAAATCAGAAGAAAAAAAAAAGAAAAAAAAAGAAAAAAAACAACCCACATTTACATGGGTATGTAATTTTAGAACTGAACATCTAGCATTCCGATTAAATTTTCTCTCCACTTTCAGTATGTCTATTGTCAACAGAGATAAACGAACAAATCTCTCCTCCCCTCTGCCTTCCTTCAATTTTGTCACTGAATGTAAAGATGGAAAAGAATAAATTTTGGTGGGACAGGGAGAACCAGAAAAATTGCAGACTGTGTTTCTTATAGATTTGATCATTCCTGTTGAAAATGCTGTAGTTGGGCTTCTTTTTGGCAAGAAACCAATTCTGAAAACTTTTAGATCTTCTCCTTATCCTAACAAGAAGGTAATTCACAGCTTCTTTAGAATTTCTGTCATACTAACTTTGCAAACGTGGGTGGGCTCCAACCATTCTCTGCAGAAGAGTTCTTAGTTGCCTATTTGCTGCATTGGCCAATTGCAAATGTTAAGCAGGTGATATGACACCTGCAGTGTTATTTGTTTTGTTTGAAAATTATTTGCTTTGAGAAGTACTGTCTTTCTTTGTTACAGGAACTTTCTTACCATTCCCCTAACACTAAACATTCTTTATTTGTGTTATTTTCTGCCAGGAGCTGGACTACAGGTACGATATCACTCCTACGACCTTGTTTTGAAAGCCTATCCAGAAACCTGAAAAATAAAATAAGCCTGATGGTATCACTGGGCTTCTCTTTCCCACTTAGAAATACTAGTAAAGCATTGTTTCCCAAGTTGATCAGTCTGAAGAAAAAAAAATTCCCCAGTAAGGCAGATATGTAACAAAATACACACAGTACCCAGAGTTTAAAGATTGAAGAATCCCTTTCTCAAGTTTAGGAGTGTGGCACTTAGAAGATCAAATTTTCTTCTCTTGCCTTTCAGTATCACTACGTTATAGTCTTGGGGTCTGTTTTCAGTGCTGGTAGGTAGTGAAGTCTAAATTAAGTTGCCATTTATCAGTTGGTACGAGCATTTTTCATCTCAGTGACACTTCGCAACGCTCCATTGCAGAAAGTTTTCCTCACCATTAGGCATTCCTAGCATTTGTCATTTACCTTTGCAACTTTCTGCTGTCTTCCACCACATATCATCCTTCCAGCAAACAGTCAATGCAACCTTCAGAACACTCACCGTCTTCCCAGATACTGGCAAATATTTAATAGATATATCTGTCTTTCAGTTATTGCTACATTTTCTTATTGTTGTTCTTACTCTGGTGGTGAAAAATAGGAAACTATTCCCATGCCCTTTTCTTCTCCCTGAAATATTAAAATTTGCACCACAAATCTGTAAGCCATTCATTTTCTTGAGTGTGCAAGTATTCTGATGCCACCAGTTGCCTCAGTCTCCTTTACCTGGAGCTGCAAGCTTTCCAGTTTGTGAAATGCCTCCTATTTTACAGAAACATTTTCCTGATCACAATGAAATCATGTGTAAAAATAAGCACAAACTAACCTTTCCTGTTGGCTTATTCACACACACTCCATTCAGCTTTCTGTGGGATATTGACCCGACCTCGCCTTGTAGCTTTTCTCTCTTCTAGCATACCTAAGGCAGAAAAAGGAACACCTAATTTCTTTTGACAGTGGTAAGAAGATAGTCTTGCAAAAGAACTTTGAAAAGTCTCTTGGGATATTATACTTAGATTATTTACTGGAGGAAGGAGCAGTGAGAGTCCTCAGTGGCTGCTTGCAGTATAAACTGAAGAAGAGCACCAAAAAGTGTTGTTGACTGCAGGACTCAAAAGGAAGTCAGTGTTTCACTTCCACACTTGGAGTACAAGTTTGCAGAAGCATCAAAATAGAAGGTAGAAGTTTTGGCAAGTCTCTGTTATCTACTTCTATTCACTCAGTTCCTCTTCTTATGTCAGTGCCACACTTAGAGTTACTCATCTTGTGATGAAAAAAGAGAGAAAAAACGCAAATATAACAGCGATATGATGTCCTCACTGTGGGCTAACCTGTATCTGTCCACATGATTCCCCTCTAGCAAAATGTGAGAATAAAATAGGATGAAATATCTCATGGAGTCAAGATTAGGCACATGAATGTTAAAAACAAAACAAACCAAAAAATTCAACAAGGCTGCAGCTGGAAGAAAAGAGTAAAAATTGGGATTTATTTTCTTATTTTCATCAGCAAATTTTCATTTCCAAGAAGCAGGTCATCAGTGGTTGCTTCAGAAGACAGATTTACAATGAGTATTTCTTTTCCACCTTTTCTTAGTAAGCATGGCATCATGGTATGAAACATATTCTTGTCCATTTTGGGTCAGCTGTCCTGGTTCTGTCCTATCCCAGCTCCTTGTCACCCCAAGTTTACAATCATAGAATTGCAGAATCACCAATATTTGAAAAGATCTCCAAGATCATATAGTCTAACCGTCCACTCATATTTGCCCACTATACCATGTCCTTTAGTGCAGCATCTAAACATTTCCTGAACACCTCCATGTATGATAACTCCACCAAAGCCCCTGGGCAGCTCGTTGCATTGCCTGACAACTCATTCAGAGAAGAAATTTTTCCTTATATCCAACCTGAATCTTCTTGGTGCAACTTGAACTCTCATTCTGTTGATAGGAGCAGAGGCCAACTCCCACTTCGACACAACCTCCCTTCTGGGAGGTTGTAGGGAGCAATAAGGTCTTCCCTGAGCCTCCTCTTCTCCAAACTAAATAAATCCCTATTCCCTCAGACACGTCCCATAAGACTTGTGCTCCAGACTCCTCAGCAGCTTCGTTGCCCTTCTCTGGACAAGCTCCAGGAACTCAGTATCTTTCTTATAGTGAGGGGTTCAAAAAGCTTCTTACTGGCAGGACAGAACAAAAACCAGGAAAGACCCTGACCTACTGTATAAGCACTGCTCAGCAACAACAAAAACAATGGTGTGTTATCAACATTATAAAACATAGCTCCATACAGCTACTATGAATAAAGCTATGTCCATCTCAGCTGAAACTGGAGCATGTTACCACAGGGGCACCGTCAGCACTGCTGATGTGCTCAGCTTTTGCCAGCAGTGCATCCATTTCGGAGCTGATTGGACTTGACTCATACCTTCGTGGCAGCTGCTTCTCAGCTTTCTCACACAAGCCAACTCTATAGCCCCTCCTGCTGGCTACTGCCAAACACTTGAGTCCAAATTCAATATATGGGAGTCTTGAGGGATAAATATGTGGAAAGAACTCAAAATTATCAGAAAACCTCTCATTAAAGCACAAAAGCATTGAGTGATCTCATTTCATGAGCTTATCTCCTGTAGAATTCAGTGAATATCTATCTGAAATCTGAAATTCCAGATATTTCCTGAATCTTTATATATTTACATCTCTTAAGAACAAAATGAACTCTTAAGAACAAATTGAAAAGATAAAAATGCCACACATTATCACATTATCAGGCCCTAGATGGCGCAAAGAGAAATATCCTCCATTTACAACACAAAAAGTTCCCTTGAACAAAAAATCTGTATCCACACAGAGGTAGTCAAATGCCAGTGTATGGTAAAACACATTCCACTATTTGCATAGGTTTAAAGAGAGATCACTGCACCTTGCAGGGTAGAGAAATACTGTGTAAAATCAATGCCTACAAACCGTGACTCAGTACCAATTTGTTTTCTGCTATTCTGAGCAGATTCTAAATATTGTAGAAAATAAGCAAGGTTCACAGGAAACATGATCCTAAATTGTGATTGTATCTCTACGTTCCAAACAAATAAAATTGTTCCAATATAGGTTTATGATTCTTGAACAATACTACTGAAAGAGACAGTAATAGCTTTGGCTCCAGCCACTACTAAATCTTGAGAAACTACTTTATAAAGCAGTATTCTTCATTTCTTATTAATACAGAGGCTGGAGGTGACCAATTTGAGGGAATTTACTGGAATTATATGTGAAGTAGATACAATATCCACAGAGAATATAACAGATAGGGCCTGTAGTAAAAATAAATGAATATAATATTGCTGAACAAGAAACATGTATCTAACATGAGCATACATGACAGATACTAATGTGCTCCAGGTGTTCAGCAGCAGAGAGATCTATTTTGCTGTTAGGTTTATTTGAGCAAAGGTTAGAATTATATTGCCTCCTACTAAGAGCTAAGTAAATCAAATTTCCATCAATAAAGAAAAAGAACAAGAAAAATCTTGTTCTTTTCCAAGAATTTTTAATGGAGAAATAATACCAGAAATTTTAATTAATTAATGAATGATGTATCAGCAGGATTGATAAATTGATAATGTGACTTCACTATCACATATTGTGAATTAAAATAAAAAAAGAGAGAGACTTCATTCTCAGTCACTACTTACTCTTCAGACCAATTTTCCATACTAGAAGTACAGAAATGAAAAGTCTCTGAATTTGAGGTGTAAATTTTTCCAGTGCTACTGCATTAAGATGTGAGGGCCTAATCATAGAATCATGGAATCATAGAAGCATAGAATGGCTTGGGTCAGAAGGGATCTCAAGGATCACCAAGTTCCAACGGCCATCTGCTGGATCAAACAGCAGCTCAGGCTGCCCAGGGCCCCATCCAACCAGGCCTTGAACGCAGACAGAGGGTGGTCATAAATGGCTCCATGTCCAGGTGGAGGCAGTATCGAATGGCCTCATGTCCCACAGGGGTCTGTCTTGGAACTGGTGCTCTTTAGCATCTTTATCAGTGACATCGATGACGGAATCGGGTGCACCTTCAGCAAAATTGCTGATGACACCAAGCTGAGTGGTGCAGTTGACACGGTTGAAGGAAGGGATGCCATTCAGAGAGACCTTGACAGGCTGGAAAGGTGGGCCCAGGTGAACCTGATGAGGTTCAACACAGCAAAGTGCAAGGTTTTGCACTTGGGCCAGAGGAATCCCAGGCATCCATACAGACTGGAAGGAGCAGTCCTTGAGAGCAGCCCTGCAGAGAGGACCTGGGGGTCTTGATAGATGAAAAGCCTAACATGAGCCAGCAGTGTGCTCTTGTAGCTCAGAAAGCAAATGGTATCCTGGGCTCCATCAGAAGAGGGGTGGTCAGCAGGGACAGGGAGGTGATTGTCCCCCTCTACTCTGCCCTTGTGAGGCCCTATCTGAAGTACTGCATCCAGATTTGGAGCCCCCAGTACAAGAAAGATACGGAGCTGTTGGAGAGGGTCCAGAGGAGAGCCACAAAGATGATTACAGGACTGGAGCACCTCCTCTATGAAGACATGCTGAGGGAGCTGGGCTTGTTCAGCCTGGAGAAAAGAAGGCTGCGGGGTGACCTCATTGCAGCTTTTCAGTACCTAAAGGGAGCCTACAAACAGGAGGAGAATCAACTCTTTGAAAGGGTCGATAACTGCAAGGCAAAATGGTTTTAAATTGAGAGAGGGAAGATTTAGGTTGGATGTCAGGGAGAAGTTTCTTTACAGAGAGAGTAGTGAGGTGCTGGAACAGGCTGCCCAGAGAGACTATTTAAGGTACACAGGCCATGCCAAAAGTAATGCCTCCAATTTATTTCCATGGAAACTACAACAGATACAGAGAGTATTTGGAAGAAAACAAAACAGTGTGCTGCTTTTCTGTTCCTCCCTGGACCTGAGCCTTCTCAGTTTTACTATAATGCTGCCTGGACCTCAGCACCCTACTTGCACATGTGCCCTGATCCTTTGCCCTCCTCATGGTTATGTACAGATGCAGATGAAGAGATGAAAAAGCAATGGAATCTGACACTTCTATCTCATGCATTGCCTTGGCGTTTCAATTGCTATCTATCTTCACGATGAGGATCAGCTGTGAATATTTGATACTGGTAGCCAAGTTCTGCCTGAATAAGCTGAAAGTTCACAATTCCACAAATGGGTTATCTATATTCAGGTCCCCACTTCACAGTCTGTTTAATTAAATACAAAATTTCTAACAGAACAGAGTAGGAATTAAATATAGAATAAACACAATAAAATAGAATAAAAACTTTTAAGGCTTCTCCTTGGTGAGATGTACAAAACTGTGTGGGATACAGGAGAGTGTAGAGAGTAAGTTCATCTCTCATATACTTCAAAATAATTTCCCAGCTACAAGCATGGTGGTTGCCATTTTTATGGCATTCTACTTTAAGATGAATCTCCACCTTGGTTCCATAAATCATCCCGTGAAGCCTGGGGCAAGGACCCTCAGTGATGTCACCAACCCATAGACTGTAACTGTGCAGCCTTCACTGCATATACTCGGGTGCCAGCAGAGCCCAGCCCAGGTTGGGTCATGTCTGGATGCCTGCTGAGGAGGCTAGAAGGTGAAGCAGAACTTTGCTGGGTGGTGGGTCAAGCTGTGAGGCTATCAACAGTAGATTTTTCTGTCCATCCCACCAAGCTTGCTCATCCCAGTCAAATTTTGCTCAGATACTCAAGTTAGTCTGTTTGCAGGGATGGTTTTAATACCTTTATTCATGAATAAGGAAGGAAACTAATGTGACAACATTTCTGCTAATATAATCTGTTTAAATGAAGATTGAAGTGCAAAGGTAAATGGTAATAATGATGTAATGATTGTAATAAATACTAATGTTAGTTTAATGGAAATGGTACAGGGAGACATTAAGGACTCTAATTTACACACAATACAGCTTGCCTTGACCAGTGACACCAGAACAGAGGGAAGCCTTAGAATAAAACTGAAGAGAAACTCAGCTCAAAAAGAAGGCCTTAGGCTGAGGTTTATCTCACTGAACTGGGATTGTTATTAAGCAAATTACAAGGGCAAGACACTCTAGAACTAAATC